AAAAGGAATTTCTTGACACGTTTGAGTTTTGCTTCTTATTTTCAACGCACGCACACAAATATAAGAAACAGGTTCTCTACTACATTGCCCTTTAATATCATTCCAATTTTATATAATCATTTAATTGTTCAACTAGCACTCACCCATCACATACTGTGTGCAAAACAGTGTGAGGAGAAGGTAAGCTAAATGAATGGCTATGGGGCAGCTTTTGTTCTCATGGGTTACCTGGGACAGGGGAGCCAATAATGTACAATGAAAGCAGAAAGGTGTTAAGTACCTTAAGAATTGGTGAGGGAATTACCATCTGGTGGGAAATACTTAAATAGGTGTGAAAAATTGAGAATCAGAAAAAATGATGAAAAAACGGAGGATCAGTGGTTGAGGCACTTTTTCCATTATACCAAAATAAGCTCTAAGGAGGGAAAGATGATTGCTTTTAGTGAGGGAATGGGATATATATATATATATATATATATATATATATGAGACATGTTTGTGAGTATCATTAAAACATTTTGGGAAAATTCCATAGGGGGAAGTTGAGGAGGACCATCAAGTAAAGGTATTCGAGGGGGCATGGCAAGGTGTCCACATGGGCTGGAAGGGGAAGGATGAAGCATGTGACCCTACGTGGAGCCCTTAAAACCATGGCATGGTATTAAAACTAGTTTGTGCCACTTTAGGTTTTTTATAATTAAGCTTTTGCTGTAGGAGAAGTGGAATAAGTGTGAGAGAGGAGGGCCTGGAGAAATGGGGCGGGGATGTGGTGGTAGATTCGGGAGACTTCAATGAAAGTACTATGCAGAATGTTGGAAAAACGACACATCTGTGGATATGATGAAGATAGTTAAGCTAGAAGAACCAAAACTGTATTGATGGCAACAAAACAAAGTCATGAAAGGTCATTTCCCCCTAATTTCCAGCTAGCGCCTAATTCAAATAAAAAAGTTGTTTGCCAGGTAATCATGTAACATCACCAGATGTTTGCATTTGTAGTGTGGCTTTTACATGCCTTTCTCATACTTAAACAGGAAAATCTCTTCTTGCTGCACACTATTGCCAAAACATGACACATGAAAAAAAAAAAAAAGACAATAAATAAAAGTAATAGTATATATTCACTTCTGGCCCCTAGAAATATCAGGATTATGTACTTTAATTTATTTAAAGTTCTGGGAATCACTTTTATTTTCACTTCTAGTCAGTTCTAATCTTTCAACACAGCTTTTATTTCTGAAAATGGACTCTATTTCCCCCCATCCTTGCCCAGACTTATATTAGTGTTAAATCATCCATGCAGTTTTTAACATCACTAATCCAAAGGCTTAAGAACTTTACAAGTACAGATACTGAAGAGAGTCTACCTTAGAGAGACCAGGGTTTGGTTCACAGGTAATACTCTTTAAAAAATATTGTAACAGATTTTTCTACCACTGAAACTATTTTTTTTTTTTTTTTAAAGAGTATGACCACTGACTGGTAAAGTATACAAAGACCTGACAAAAAAGTTTCTTGGATTGGTAACATTTACTATTTTATTAACACTTAAAATGGCTAGTTGTAAAGTTTTGCTATATCATCGACATTGAATTAAGACATATTATTTGCTTTGGAGGTGCTTGTATATGCTCTTTTCTGGACAATCTGTTAGGTAAAAGAAGTCCAATAAATATGCCATTGATAAGAATCTCAGAATAACAACCTCTTTACTTATTCAATCTTTTTGTATTTGTAATAATAATGACTAAGTAAATGAAATATAAAAAATCAGGAAAGTGGACTACCTTTAACCGAAAGTAAATTTTATTTTAAATAGAATGCAAATATCAGATATAATTGGACTCAGCTACTTTCAACACAGATATTTTATGATTCTGTAATTTCAACATATTCTTTTAGGTGGTCAGATTTATAAATTTTTGGTAAAATTATTTTGCCATTTCCTGATTTACATTTTCTGATTTTTCACATGCCTCCACACACATGCAAATAGAGGAAAAAGAATCAAACATAGGATATGCACAAATTTTTGCTAGGGTATGTGTACTTTTTCCTACCTTTTCTTCTTGTGTTCACACCTTAGTTTGTTTAAAACTAAGTTCTATACAGATAGAACTGAATTGGAAAAGTATGCCTTTATACAGGCACACACATCCCTACATAATTTCCTCCAGTACACTAACTTCCAATATACAGATACTTCTTTATTCTTTCATTGGCTTTGCTCTTCCATCCCCAGCCCCAGTGGACACAATGAAGTGATTCTCACTTTTAAATATGCATTTCTTTCTCTTGTTCTTTATATTGGAGAGTTGTCTTAATTGACATTTGTAATATATTTTTTAAATCTGCAAGTACTTTTCTTCCCCTAATACTGATGTATTTCCTTTTTCTAACCACATTATTCAGATTCTAGATATTAACTTTGACCTGTCCCTCTGGAATAGATTCTTGTACTTTATTTTCTATATTTCATCATTCTATTTACCTATCCAGTACTGTTGCCATAGACAGAGAGTGCAATTTGGAAGGTTTTTATGGCCCTAACGTGTTTGGCTTAGTGAACAGAGCTTGGGCCCGAGGACTGAAGGGTCCTAGGTTCCATTCTGGTCAAAGGCATGTACCTTGGTTGCTGACACATCTCCAGTAGGGGGTGTACAGGCAGCTGATGGGTGTTTCTCTCTCTCTTGGATGTTTCTAATTCTTCATCCCTCTCCTTTCTTCTCTGTAAAAAGTCAAAAAAGAATATACTTAGGGTCAGTCCACCACTCAGCTCCCTCTCTGAGAAGGAGCTGCCATGATGACATTTCTTCCAAAATCCTTCCACTCTTACAGCTAAATTCACTTCCATCGCTCTCTGCTTCTCCCCGCCCCACCTAGAGGGAAGCATTACAGTGTTTCTAGTGGAGGCAAGTGTTTCGTTTAAATATTGTGCATTTGTTGATATTCTACCGTTTTCAATCTTGTCTTTTCACGTCGTTTCTATCCCGACGTAATGGAGCTTAAAGGACTGTTTACTGGTGCCCAGATCAGCCCAGAGGGTGGGGTCCAGAGCTGTTTGCCCTGAACAGAGACCCATGCCCCAACGACCCCCCCTCTCCCCCTAGCCTACAGGTTCCATTTGCCTACCCAGTTCCTCATTCCCCGGCCACCCCCACGTTTTCAGAGGTGGGTTTGCTTCGCCTTTCCACTCCCACTGCTTTCCTCCTCCAAGGATCCTTTGCCTAAGAGGAGTGGTCCACAGTTTTCAACACTCTCACACTTATTTGTTCTTCCAAACCCTAGGATCGGGTCTGAGACACCTTCCCTCCCTACTGTTTTATTTGAAAGACTCAGGCCCACTGATTCCTTGAAGTGGGCTGTGCAATCACACCCTGCAGGCGGGACCACCTTTCTCCTGGTCCTCATGTGCAGGTGGTGGCGGGAGGCAGAGGACGCACCAAGCAGGCCACTGCTTTTGTCTTCACCCTCAAGGCACTTGGCGCCTTTCCGAGTAGAAGTATTTGAAAAATGCCATGCAAAATGTAAAAAAACAACAACAAAAAAACAAAAACAAAAAAACCCAAAACAAGAAAAACCCTAAAAACTAGACGAGGCTTTTCCTGGCTAGAATTCGGTTCTTTGCTCTCATTTCCTGTTCCTCGGCCTCTCCCTTGTTTCTCTGCTTATCCCAGGGCAGGTCACACACTGCCAATCTTCCTACCTCCGCCTAAACTTTCCCTGAGCGGCCTTCCTACCCACGGCCGGCTCCCCACGCGGGGCGGACCCGGGGGGACCGTGCACGGTGCCCTGCCCGCCCCGGGATCCTCAGCGCGCTCCCCCAGGTTTGCAGGAAAAGTGGCTCAAGCAACCCCAATCGATGACCGCCCGAGTCCAGCCCATTCCCCGCATCCCGCCCCCTGCTTCCGCCCAGTCTCCTCCCCAGCGGCCCCCGCCCCCCACTCCCCCTCTCCCCCCCCCCCCCCCCCCGCGCGGAGCTGACCCCGCGCCCTCAGGGCCGCGCCGCCTCCTCCTCCTCCGGCTGCCCCGGAGTCCGCGGGTCCGTCCCCTGGGCACCGAGGCGGGAGGGCGAAGGCGACAAGGACTCGGGTCCGGGCAGCCCAGAGCTCAGGGCTCCCTTCAGGGACACAGGGCTAGACTCCCTTGTGGTGCCCCCCAACCCCACCGCGCCCTGGCTTGGGCGAGGGTCTACAGCTCCAGCTCCCCTCCCCTCCCCTTTCTCCCGCAAGTTCTCCCGCTTCCCTAGCTTTCCTACACAAGTAGCGCGGGCGGGCGGGCGCCTCTCCTCTGGGGGCCCCCAGCGGAGCCAGCGTCCCGGGCTCGCCCCCTTCCATCCCTCTCCAAGGTGAAGGGCGGGGAGGGAGGGCGCTCCCACCTCGCCCGCAACGTGGGCAGCTCCGGGACCCAAACAATGATCCCCCCCCCGCGTGTTACACGCCCAGCGCCCCGCCCGCCGCACCCTCCCGCGGGGAGAGCTCTGTCCGGCCCCGCACCCCCTGCCGGGCCTCACGGTGGCCCCGGGTAGGAGGGGGGTAGGGGGGCGGTCCCCGCGAGCCCGGTGCCGCCAGCCCCGCAGCCCCCGGGCCGCCTGGCCGGCCCCGCCCGCACCTTCCCAAGTTCGCCGGCGGGTGCGCCGCGGCCCCTCCTCTGCCCCCCACCCTCCAGGGGGCGAGGGAGGGGGGCCCTGGCGGGCTCCGCGCCGTATTTGTCCCCGAATTCTCTTCCCCGTGCTGCCATGCACGCTCGGACACAAAAGAGGGGACTTTCTCGCGGCTCCGGCGGCGAGTTGAGGTCCCGGGGTTCCGCCCCCCGCGAGGCCCCGCGGGGCGCCGGGGCGCGGTGGCCATGCCCTGTGTGCGGGTTATTTTGGGCGCCGCGGCTGCAAGGTGGTGCAGGTGACAGGGGAGCGGGGGGCGGGGGAGGGCGGGGCGGGGTGGGGCGAGGGTGGAGACGCCGCGGACCCACCCCCAGCCCGGCGGCCGGGGCGGCGGCGGCGCGAGGGCCGGGCAGTGGGTGTTGCCTTCTACCTCTGCGAACGGGGAGGGGTTAGCTTCCCACAGGGGATTTCAACCATCACACTCAGAGCCCGCCTCCTAATCCTCGGGCGGAGCGGCTCGGGGGGGCCCCCATTTCATGGCCATAAAGCGACTTAGCGTCCGCTGAGCGCGCCCCTCCCCGCCGCCGCCGCCCCCGCCCCCGACCCCACCCCGGGGCTCGCCCGCAGCGGCGGGGCTTTGTTTCTGGGGGAGGAAGGACCCGGAGCTCTTTTGTTTGGGGGGTTTGGTGTTTTCACCCCCCCACCCCCCACCCAGCCTCACCCCGCCCCGCCCCGCCCCGCCCCGCCCCACCCCCAGCACCTCTCGGGTTTCCTGAGCTGCGGGCTGCGAGGGAGGAGCGCGGCGTCCTGCACCCCCTCGGCAGGGCCCCGGGGTAATCCGATGCGGGCCTGGCCCGGCTCCCCGCGCTCAGACCCGGGCTCGCGGCTCCTCCGCCGCCTCCACCCGCCACCGGCCCACCCTCCACGGAGCTCATCATGTGATCCGGGTAAGTCATTTGCAAGTACAACAGTTTCCCTGGGTTGCCCCCCATTCATTTCCTGGGAACTGCAGAGAGAGCCGCCGGGAGAGAGGCTCTGCCCGCGCGTGTGCGGGGAGTGTGTGCGCGCGTGAGTGTGAGCGAGGAGGGTGCGCGTGTGAGTGCGCGCGCGCGTGCGAGAGAGAGAGAAAGGGAGAGAGGGGGACCCTGTGTGAGGGCAAGAAAACAATTTCTCCTGCTCCGCAGCTTCTGCTCAGGTCTGTGCCGATTCCGTTTCTTATCAAAATAAACAACCCCCACCTCTCTCTCCCCCCCCCCCCCTTTTTTTCTTTTTGCCATCCCAAATCAGACCGTGTTCTCCTAACATGTTTTATTTTCCTTCTGTCATCCGCTCAAGTTGAATCATTTGGGTCGCTCTGTGCTCTGAAAGGGGGGGAAAGTGTTGGGAAGAAGCGGGAGGGGGGCCCAGGGAGGGCGATGCTGTGACATTCGTGCAGAAGAAAGAAGGAGCCCCCACCCCAAGACAGACGTTTCTTTCTTTCTTTTCTTTCTTTTTTTAAAAAAGAACTTACCAAGTGACATGAATTGAGCAAATGTTTTTCTCTATCCCTAGTGGAATTGTTGGTTGCTGTGTTTGCCTGACAGTTGCCCAAGATGAGCAATAAAACACCAGGGCAGAATTGGGGGTGTGGGGTGTGGGGTGTGGGGTGTGGGGTGTGTGTGTGTGTGTGCTGGTGGAACTAGTTTGCCCCCAGGAGTGGAGCGAGTTTGGGGACCAGGCTGTGTGGGCTGTGGGTGTGCGCTGGCGAGGGCGCGGAGGGGAAGGGGTTAAGGCGGGGATGACACTGCTGGCATGAAGAGTGGTCCTGGTGCTACATTCATTATTGTCTCTGGTCGTAATGATGTGTAACTGTCACTGGCTACAGTGCCTCCTCCGTGCAAGTGGCCAGGGGCTGCCCCGTGGCTGTTATTTTCAATTATGGGGTTGGGGGGGGGGTAGGGAGGGGACTGGGCCGAGTTGACAAGGGGCAACTTTGCATGTCCACCCCGGCCTGCAAGCCTGCCTGGCCGGCCCAGGAGCCACTTCTTGCCTTAGAAGCTCGCTCTGAGGACTCGGACTTGACCTCCGCGACATGAGTTGGTGTTCTTCTTGTGAGATGCTCCCCTACCGGGAGGATCAATCCTGCTTTTGTTGGGGTAGAGAGCTGCCTATGAGAACTTTGGAAACTTTTATCTTTGGGGAAAAGGGTGGGGTGCACTCAGCAGTTCTGCTTCGGAGTGGATTTGAGGCGGATGCTTGGAAAAAGTACCAATTCCTTTGTTACATGCCCCGCAAGCCTCCCAGCCCCCTTCAGCCTGCTGCTCTCCCAGTTTTTGCATACTTTACTAGTAATAGCCTTAATTCGGTTGATACAAGCTGACTGTTGTTGAGTTAAAAGAGTATTAGTACAACGGAATGTGTAATCTGGATAAACAGTTTGTGTGGTTAATATTGTCAGCGCTCTAATTTAAACTGTGCAGATGGTTTAAGAACGGCTCTATATGGATTGTTTTAAGCAATTCCGCCGGCTAATAGAATTCTCCTGGAGCACTCAGATATTTTATTTTAAATCAGCTTTAGAACACTCAGTTTCCCTGTCACACCGGGGAGAGATGAGCAGCTCTATTTACATTTAGTGCATGTGCATCCAGTGGCTTCACAGACATCTGCCAATCAAACACACGTCATTCTGCAAATCCACCTCGCCGCCTCCAGGCCCTTTTCTTACTGGAGGATAGAGTTGTGTAGAGAGTAAATGCTTTAAAATAAATTTGGTGGCTTTTTACAAGGCAGCAGCTTGTGATGCGGGTAAGAGTGGTCACTTGGAAGAGTGGGTGTATACCACCTTCTAAGAAATACTCTTTGGAACTGCCATTTAATCAAAAACAGTGCCCCCATCCCACCCCCCACCCTCCAATAAACCTGGTTGTGCTATTTGCAGACCTCATTCAAATGTTTTTTTTTTTTTTTTTTTTTTTTTTACATTTCAAAAAACCACATAGGAATTGGTTATGATAAAAGGGTGTACTTTTAGGCTAGAAAATGTTTAACTGTAGAAGCTTAGTAGAAATAGGATATTGAAGGACAAACATTTCAATTGCATAAGGCATTTTTTTAAAAATATATTTTATTGATTTTTGTACAGAGAGAAAGGGAGATAGAGAGTTAGAAACATCAATGAGAGAGAGTCATTGATCAGCTGCCTCTTGCACACTGGGGATGTGCCCGCAACCAAGGTACATGCCCTTGACCAGAATCGAACCCTGGGCCCTTCAGTCCCCAAGCCGACGCTCTATCCATTGAGCCAAACCGGTCCCGGCTTGCATAAGGCATTCTTTATCGCTGCAGCTGGCTCTATCTGAAGACTACCCAGAGTATATTAAGCTGCTCTGAGTTGGAGAGCAATTTAAGGGTACCAGAATTGGCAGACATTTGTAATGTATTTAGGAAAGAGGTTTATAATTTTACTTTCTAATTCCTAACTATTATGAATTATACTTAAGCTGGTACAATACAATTTGGAATAGTTTCACATAAAATTTTCATTATTTATGAAGTAACACTGTGTAGCCAACATAGCTGTGTCTGGTAAACAAAACATTCTCGAGAGGTTTCTGTTTATTTGTGAAGTGCTACAGTGATTTATTAATACATATTTAAAGGACACTACGGTCAGCTAAACTTTATTTTGGAATGCTTTGTATGGCTATTTATTGAATGAAAACTGTTGTGGTAATGAGCCCTTAATATATATATATTTTTTAATCTACAAAGTTCCTTTTCAGCAACTGAATGTCATTTGGGAGAAACTGGTCTTGGTGTAGCATTTGAGACCTTGACCTTAGCAACTCTTGGCTGGTGGTTGTTTACTACAGCTGCAGCCTGTGTGTGTGTACAGACAAGGAAGGGACTGAGCCCTGGTGTGCTCACTCTCCCTGGCCCAGGGAAAAGCAGAGGAGGATGCTGCATGGTCATTCCCAAGAGCACGAATCAGCCATATAATAATAGCGATAGTGTTCTGGCCATTTAAAGATTTATAGGTTCCTCAGGGATTATTTCCCCACCTCTTATGAAAAGTAAACATGGACTTTAATAGACTCAGAGTGAGTTTTAGATGTCATATCTTGAAGCAGGCTATTAGCTTAATGAAGTATTTGGTCTTAAATATAGTAGTTTTGTGTTGTTGTTTTTGTTTGATTTTAATCTGTGTAAAGACACGTAAGTGTGTCTCTAAGCTTAGGCCTCTAAGCCTGTACTGAGGGCATTTTGAACTCAAGCCAGTGTTGGTTAAGCTAGTATTGAGTAACCTTATCAGTGGAGTGATATTGTTAAATAGTGAATATGTAAAGGTCCTGGACATTTTCACAGTTGTACAAAAGGGTAAGTGTGGAGTTTCATATTTCTGCAAATTAACATTAGAATAATCACATTAAAATGGGGTGTTAGTTTGTTTTCTTTATATTGTGCAGGAAACATTCGTAGTGTCACATCCTTAAATCTAGATGTAGTTGATTTGTGAATTAATGCAAAGTAGTTTATTCTACAAAACTAGAAATGCTATAAACTCATTTGAAAAAATAATTTTTTTTTTTTTAGATAAGTTTCTCCACTCATGCTTCCATGTTGATTGATGAAGAAGAGCTAAAAATAAATAAATAAATAAATAAATAAAAATCCCAAAACGGTTTCATTTAGAATGAACACCACGGTCAACTTTTTCTTTTAGAAAACAACTTTCATTTTCGTTAATAAATCCTAAAATACGTTTCAGGAGTTTACCTCTGTCATTTTACATTTTGAAAATATTATGTGACTGCAGAGTGGAAATATCTATCAATATATCTTGCCTAATGTTGGTTTATTTTCCATTTTAAAATCCATATTTATTTGGTTTTCAGTCTACAAGTTATGCCCAGTTTTCCGGCTTAAGCATGTACAAAATGTAAGGGTAAAAATATTAAGAATTAAATTATTGGCAACACCCTGTAACCACTGCCTGAACTCATCCACCACAATCGCCCCTCCCAAAATCAAAATGCATGTAAACAGATGGGCCTTGCCCTGGGCCCAGAAGGTCAGCAGCCTTAGGCCCTTGGAGCCCTGCTCGCTGGTTTCTAGATCCCAGGCCTGCCCAGAGGACTGTGACTTCAGCTGGCCAGAATTCACTCTCAGGGCCGGACCAGCCACACCCCATCTGATGTCAGCGTTCAGTTCTGTGGTGGAGAACACATGCTGTGGATTAAATGGTTACTTTCCCTGTATATTCTCAGTAATTATGTTACAAAAGGATTTTTCGGTTTGGGGTGTTTATTGTCATAAAAGTGGCTACTTGAGTAGTCATATTGCTCCATAAAAATTTGTTTTGGTCTGGCAGTGGATTATAGGCTATACACCCAAAGAATTGTGCCCTCCTATGGCCTTTCTCCTTCCCACTTTAACCCCCCTCGCTTAAAGTTGCACTTTTATTTTGTTGCTAATTCTATGGCATATATTTTTAAATATTTGTCAGTAGAATGATTGGACTGGTCCAAACAATATTGCTATGCAGGTACAGATGGAAGCCATTGCTTCTTGCTGAGTTGCTGCAGGGAAGGAGAGAAGGGGAAATGAGAGAGCTTTGGGCTAGTTTTCCTGCCCCAGCAGAGGCTAAAAGAAGCTGCCACACCCAAGAATTGTGTTCCAAGTGCTATAGTCACCGTGCTTACAAGTATACAGCAGTCCCCCGTTATTTGTGGGGGATATGTTTTAAGACCCCAGTGGATGCCTGAAACTGTGGATTGTTTGGAGCACCTTGTATATTTTTTTCTCCTATCCATATGTATCTTTTCACTTAAAGTAGGGGTGTCAAACTCAATTAGAGAAGGGGCCAAAATCTAAAATCCAGCCTAAATTGCGGGCCGAATGGTTTACTGAACAGTCATAAACTGTCATTGTGATGGAAACACAGCGGAGTGCAATGATGACAGCG